ACCTAATCCTGTGTCAGGTGACATTTCTCGTGGAGGAAGGCAGGCGGTGAGGTGGCTCGTCATGCGCAACACGTGTCCTAGCCATCTCAATCGATGCAGCTTGACTGACAACTTCATCTCTCATCGACTTGCCTTCCTCGCCTAGCACTGACTCTACGCCTAAGCTCAATATCTGTCACCGTATTATACCACTCTTAACTAACACGAGAGATAGAAGGCAAACCTCTGTGCTCAAAGACAGCTAGCCTCTTCATCATATCTGTGGCTGTCAATGGCCATGTCTGATAGTCAGTCATAAAGAAGGAGAGAACCAACTGCTTTGTAGTGAAGTCGTCTTTTCACCGACAACCGGATATCACGTGTACACCAGAGATGATGTACGTTGTCGAATGCCACACCAGCCTTTCGTATCCGTGTTGAGATTCCGTCGGAAATCAATCGATTAGGGCTTATCAAATACAGACAGATCACTGTAGGGAAAACGTCATCATGGTTGTATCACTTATCACTGATTCGATAATTAAATTGACTTATGTAACTGGTAGAAAGACTGTATTTTTAGCTTTCGCTTTACGTTGTAATTCGAGACGATGTAGACAGGCAAGAAGTTTGTGTGAGTCAGTTGATGAGTGGGTTATAGCATAGATGTGCCATATTCGTATCAATGATACTAAGCGATGCTCGTCAAATCAGTAGTACCGTATTCTTCTTTCAAAGAAGTTAGTTGACGGGGATAATATTGCATTATATTGTTACTTTGTTCAGAGTGAAGATTTCTAGATAGAGAGGCGGATTTATTCAATAACACATGAGATAGCTATGCATGAATGAGGCTGGCCACACTTCATTCAAACTGTTGACTACTTCTGTTTGAGCAGTGGTGAGTGCCTGACTGAGTGGCAGGCAGGCAGGCAGTCAGGAAGGCAGTTAGGCTGTCTGGCTGGCTGGCTCTCTGAATCAATGAATGAATGAATCAGTCAATCAATCAATCAATCCCTGAATGAATGATCGTTTGAGTTTCAGGATAGAAGTTTGGAGATGAGTGTATCAGTTCAAGTTGACACACTGCATGTATCACACAAAGGTAGAGAGTAGAGAGAAGGAAGAAATTCAAGGGAACTCTAATGAGCAGAAATGTAGGCGAGAGGGAATAGTACTATGGGGGAAGACACGAGGGTTCAGTGTAAATGGGAGATGACAAAGCGTGAATGCATCTGAGTCATGGAGAAGGATTTTCAGCCATAGCACCAATAGTCTCCAGACATTGGTACTTATCATCCCGAGGTCCCCAACCAGTCAGTCTATACCTGGCTACGTGACTGGAACACCAAGAGTGAAAGACTGCATGGATTGATTCCAGATTTTGGTTTGACCACCGAGAACTCCTTTCCAACCTAATCCTGTGTCAGGTGACATTTCTCGTGGAGGAAGGCAGGCGGTGAGGTGGCTCGTCATGCGCAACACGTGTCCTAGCCATCTCAATCGATGCAGCTTGACTGACAACTTCATCTCTCATCGACTTGCCTTCCTCGCCTAGCACTGACTCTACGCCTAAGCTCAATATCTGTCACCGTATTATACCACTCTTAACTAACACGAGAGATAGAAGGCAAACCTCTGTGCTCAAAGACAGCTAGCCTCTTCATCATATCTGTGGCTGTCAATGGCCATGTCTGATAGTCAGTCATAAAGAAGGAGAGAACCAACTGCTTTGTAGTGAAGTCGTCTTTTCACCGACAACCGGATATCACGTGTACACCAGAGATGATGTACGTTGTCGAATGCCACACCAGCCTTTCGTATCCGTGTTGAGATTCCGTCGGAAATCAATCGATTAGGGCTTATCAAATACAGACAGATCACTGTAGGGAAAACGTCATCATGGTTGTATCACTTATCACTGATTCGATAATTAAATTGACTTATGTAACTGGTAGAAAGACTGTATTTTTAGCTTTCGCTTTACGTTGTAATTCGAGACGATGTAGACAGGCAAGAAGTTTGTGTGAGTCAGTTGATGAGTGGGTTATAGCATAGATGTGCCATATTCGTATCAATGATACTAAGCGATGCTCGTCAAATCAGTAGTACCGTATTCTTCTTTCAAAGAAGTTAGTTGACGGGGATAATATTGCATTATATTGTTACTTTGTTCAGAGTGAAGATTTCTAGATAGAGAGGCGGATTTATTCAATAACACATGAGATAGCTATGCATGAATGAGGCTGGCCACACTTCATTCAAACTGTTGACTACTTCTGTTTGAGCAGTGGTGAGTGCCTGACTGAGTGGCAGGCAGGCAGGCAGTCAGGAAGGCAGTTAGGCTGTCTGGCTGGCTGGCTCTCTGAATCAATGAATGAATGAATCAGTCAATCAATCAATCAATCCCTGAATGAATGATCGTTTGAGTTTCAGGATAGAAGTTTGGAGATGAGTGTATCAGTTCAAGTTGACACACTGCATGTATCACACAAAGGTAGAGAGTAGAGAGAAGGAAGAAATTCAAGGGAACTCTAATGAGCAGAAATGTAGGCGAGAGGGAATAGTACTATGGGGGAAGACACGAGGGTTCAGTGTAAATGGGAGATGACAAAGCGTGAATGCATCTGAGTCATGGAGAAGGATTTTCAGCCATAGCACCAATAGTCTCCAGACATTGGTACTTATCATCCCGAGGTCCCCAACCAGTCAGTCTATACCTGGCTACGTGACTGGAACACCAAGAGTGAAAGACTGCATGGATTGATTCCAGATTTTGGTTTGACCACCGAGAACTCCTTTCCAACCTAATCCTGTGTCAGGTGACATTTCTCGTGGAGGAAGGCAGGCGGTGAGGTGGCTCGTCATGCGCAACACGTGTCCTAGCCATCTCAATCGATGCAGCTTGACTGACAACTTCATCTCTCATCGACTTGCCTTCCTCGCCTAGCACTGACTCTACGCCTAAGCTCAATATCTGTCACCGTATTATACCACTCTTAACTAACACGAGAGATAGAAGGCAAACCTCTGTGCTCAAAGACAGCTAGCCTCTTCATCATATCTGTGGCTGTCAATGGCCATGTCTGATAGCCAGTCATAAAGAAGGAGAGAACCAACTGCTTTGTAGTGAAGTCGTCTTTTCACCGACAACCGGATATCACGTGTACACCAGAGATGATGTACGTTGTCGAATGCCACACCAGCCTTTCGTATCCGTGTTGAGATTCCGTCGGAAATCAATCGATTAGGGCTTATCAAATACAGACAGATCACTGTAGGGAAAACGTCATCATGGTTGTATCACTTATCACTGATTCGATAATTAAATTGACTTATGTAACTGGTAGAAAGACTGTATTTTTAGCTTTCGCTTTACGTTGTAATTCGAGACGATGTAGACAGGCAAGAAGTTTGTGTGAGTCAGTTGATGAGTGGGTTATAGCATAGATGTGCCATATTCGTATCAATGATACTAAGCGATGCTCGTCAAATCAGTAGTACCGTATTCTTCTTTCAAAGAAGTTAGTTGACGGGGATAATATTGCATTATATTGTTACTTTGTTCAGAGTGAAGATTTCTAGATAGAGAGGCGGATTTATTCAATAACACATGAGATAGCTATGCATGAATGAGGCTGGCCACACTTCATTCAAACTGTTGACTACTTCTGTTTGAGCAGTGGTGAGTGCCTGACTGAGTGGCAGGGAGGCAGGCTGTCTAGCTCTCTGAATGAATGAATCAATCAATCCCTGAATGAATGATCGTTTGAGTTTCAGGATAGAAGTTTGGAGATGAGTGTATCAGTTCAAGTTGACACACTGCATTTATCACACATATGTACAGATTTGGGATACGGAAGTTTTTGAAGGAGTCGATCTTTGCTTATTGTCTTTCTCTTTAAGATATTTAGCGGAATTTTTTATGTTTTATCTTGGGTAATTCAGGAGAGAGTGAGTACATCATGTATGCACTTATTCACTTTTTAGCTAACTTTTTTAAATGAAATTTTTCTCATAATTTTTCAATGTGTGCAAAGGACTGTCTCTTACTGGTTTTATGTCAGAAAACCCGAAGTTAGATACCATCAACGACTAACAAACCTTTTTGATATACGGGACGAAATCTAGCTAACGCAACCTGTGGGATTATTTTCGAATATACACACATATGTAAGCGAATATTATAGGCGATATGAACATTTCACCTGGATCGGAAGTAAATGAAGCAACAACCTAGCTCATGGTTTATTTCTACTGCAAAATCTGCCATGTACACCATTTATACATGACCGAATTTCATAAATACTTAACCGGGTATCAGATACAACGCAGACGTTTTGAATATTTGCAGCTGAGAATTCACATTTAACTTAAGTGTGGGCTTAAAGCGTCTAACTGCAATTTAGGCAGAGGAATGTGGAGGAGGTCAACATTGTCATCAAATGTCTATTTCTCGCATTGTACGTTGCTTAAAAAGGAACTAACATCTCCTGATACTTTCTCATTGAATCAACTTCTAAAACGCTCCATATCTGTGTTTACATATTATTCATAATGAAAACACTTTTAGCAAAGATGGAAATACGTATGGATACTTTTTGTTCTGAAAACTTCATAACTAAATGCGCTGACCAATCGAACCATCCTGACAGCATGAATTCCACATCGCTCAAAGTTGCATGCGTTAACTCGAATGCATGATATTGTTCCGAACACCTGCGATTTTATAAAGACACTAATTTTGGTCTAAACTAGCGAGCCAAACCTTAGCCAGGTGATGTCTGTTTCAACGTGTCCATTCACTGTGCCCTTATGTATCGAGGGTACCACAACCATCGGAATTATAATTCAAATAGCAGAGTTGGCTGGTTAAACTTGGAGGAATTCACTATTTCATCACCCTTTATAACAACAATTCGTAACTGTAACCAAATATACGTGAAACGTTTTATCTCATAACCCTAAAGTCAGAAAATTCCCTTGTTACGTATGAATGTTGATTAAAATAAACTACCAAATTTTTAATTCCAATAATTGTATTTATAAAGCAGATCCAACATAATAAAGGTAATTTTTCGATTTTGTTAAGAAACATAAAGCATTTTATCCATGTGTTAATAACTTTGAAAGTTGTATCTGCGAGTTAAATTCACTGTAAGTCAAGAGGGCTACTATATGCCAGTTTTTTGTAACAAGATGGTAGCAAAACAGCTGTACATGTCTTACTTTTAATTATTCTACAGTATATTTATGGAATCTACATACACGACTGCATTGTTTAGTCACTGCTTTTGTAAATGTAATCTGTTGAACTTTCGTTCCACCAATTAAAATTGTCACTGCCAATGTATTCTTTGAGAATTTTCGGCCAAAAACAAGTCTCTATTCCACGGCGGCTCCGCAACATTTGTGGCCATAGGTATCACGTAGGTATGATTAGGATTATCTGCAGAAAGAAAATATGAACATGTACATTACATTCACAAATTTAGTCTAATCCACTAAAGAGCTTTAAGCCTAAAGAACACAAGCAACAAGGTATATTGTGACGCTGAAGAATACGGACCAATCAATCAACGGGAAAGTCGAAATTGAATTAAATAATAACTACTGCGTATGGTTATCGAAATAGTTTCTACACGCAGCACTAATTCTGTTTCTGATTCAGCTACCCCAAGGAAAAATCAAACTTTACGGTGTGGGCAGCCGGGAAGTAAAAATTGCCCGCACACTACCAAAAGCACACGAACCCATCGTGGTCATCCTCCTCCTTTATCCGTCACCCTCATCATATTGCTTTCTTACTACCATCACTAGCATTCTGCAGGCTGGGCAGTCATCTTCATTTGATTTTGTGACCATAAATAACGATGATGGCTTCTTAAAGTCACGCCGTCAACATTATATTGGAGCATTTAACGTCAGAGGCCTCTGCAAAATCGGACAATAGACATCACTATCAAGAACTTTGACATCCCCAGCTATGGATGTATATTGTGTTTCGGAGACATACACACACGACCCGAGTGTGGTTATCCTTTTGTCCTCACTCAGTCAACAAGGTGAATCTGCAAGATTCTCCTTAAGGGTGCCAGGAGATTCCCCAACCAACCAGTTCGCGAAGACTCCTAGGTGTAGGGATAGCATTGAGTGTTAAGGCAAAAAAATCAATTCTTGACTGGATCCTAGTAGATAGTAGAATGTGTGAGGTTAGTCTGAACGGGAGGAAGGCGGCGTTACTTGTCGCTATCTTTTTTTTAGTCTCCGTTTACGCCTCACCAACTGCACTTTAGATGAACTAAAGGATGATTTTTACCAGAAACTGTCTAGTTTGCTGCAAGAAGCAAAAACCTCAGATACAGTTGTTTTAGCAGGCGACTTCAGTGTCCAAGTGGGAAGTCCAGGATGCGCATTTTGTTCTATTTGGGATTCGTGAACCGGATTTACCTGCATTCCCCGGTGAGTGATGGTGTCCCAACAGAGGCTCGAACATAGTGCCCATGGTTTCGAATGCCAAAGCGTTATCACCCACTAGACCACTTGGGTCAAAGGAGCCACCGCTGATACGACGGCTTAGAATAATTAATTACCTCAATTTAGATTTTCCCGTCGAAGCATCTGCACAAGGAGCCAACATGTCAACTTGAGACCAGGGATTTCGGTCTAGTCAGTCGACGGGAAAATCTCAATTGCTTAAATTAATTAATAGATCAACCTATTTCTTTATGTTAAGTGAAAAAATAAATTACTACGGAAAACCGCTAAAATTCGTTTCAAGTTTAGGATACTTACTTGAGATACCGCAAGGCACGCCATCAAAACAAATAGTTGTCGCTACTGGTACTGGGAAGTTGATATTTTGCATTTGGCTAGCGTATACGTTGTGGACTTGAGGCTGAGTATTTGGAAGCATATAATTGGATATCATAGGGTTCGGAGGCTGAAATTGTGCATCATGCTGGAGAACGTCTGACAAATAAACTGTTCGCAGTTGAGGGTTTATGGTTGGATACTGAACCGGTATAGGTTGACGATATTGTAAGGTCTGCTGATAGTGAGTCACTGGAACTGATTGTAGTGGGAAACTTACTGCTTCACATTGTACTTCCCCTTGAGCAACACTGGTATTGCTAACCATATCAGTTGGGGTTTGGTTCGTATTCTCTGTCGTTTCTCTAGGCATATGGGAGGATTTGGCACTAGCGTTTTCTGTAACTGTCTCTATGTGAGTTCCCTTACTGATACAGTCTGTTTTCTTAGCAGAGGCGTCGTTTTCAGGATTAGATGGACGGTTATTTTTGTCCACTGACGAGTTAACGCTGGTAACATCCTGACGTACTGATGAGTAGCGTTTTGGGATTCTTTCAGAAGTTTTCTCCTGCTGATCTATGTGGTCAGCGTTATACCTTGTTCGAGGTTTCAAACTACTGCTACTTGTATGTAGTGAGTTCACAGTAGCAAGCTTCTTTTCACGGGTTCGTTCGAAGTCTGCAACTTGCGATCTTGACAAATTCTCTAAATTCCTTCTAGGAACAGTCGAGTGACACGAACGACCAGAGCATGGGATACTTGAATTCTGGAGAGAGTTGCTTCGTAATGTTTGATTTTCTGAACTTTTTGGGGGTTGCGAGTGCATTTGTTTTGTATTTTTATCTTGAATAGGAGGATCAGACACTACAATAGATTTGGACGCTGCATGATTTGTTGAAAGGACCGGTTTGTTCCTAGATAACAGATTTTGAGGAAGCCCCATACTCATATCTTTCTGTTGGTACACAGCGTTCCCTCGATAATGAGAAATTATTGTAAATCGACGGTTTCTGCTTTCCCTAAGGATGGAAAACTTGACACGTTTATCGCGAGTGATTGTTACCTTATCGCAATGAGGACCTGTATCAGGCTTATTTCCATTTTGTTTGTCGTCAGTCCGACTGCTCGACAGACGCTCAGCATTGCAATTTTTATCAGAGTTAACTGGGATGTTGCTTGTAGATTTAGAGGGCTCGCTGCCACCAGATTCAATTTTATTTGGATTTGAAGGGTGTTTTTCTTTTCGAATATCGTACCCATATTTCCATACAATTTCCTTTGTAGATAATGGACACTGGTCACGGTAGTTAAACTTGTCGTGTTTCCAACGTTGGTTACTTTGACGCTTCCTAACCACCTCAACATCCCCATTCAAATTACGGTGGTCATGCATATAATACCGTCTAGCATGTGGTAGGAATGTACGACTAGCCTTATCTTTATCAGCTTCAACACCTGATGAATCTACACTCACAGCATTATTACTTGTTGGCGATGGGCTGTTTTCTCGTCCATTTACTTGAAGTTGGCTCACACCATCTATCATAACATCAACCGCCGCTTCAGGATCCTTACTGTTATCATCCCTTTGATTGGTATCACTGAAATAGCTGTTGAGATCACTGACTGAGTGCATACGACTTACGCTTCGTTCTGAGCAGTCACCTGAACAGTCTGCAACTGCGAACCGGTTACGATGTCTTCGAGCACCAGGAAGGTTTTCATCTCCTGATTGTTCATCTTGATAACTATCATCATCTGAACTTTCCGGTGGTACCTGACTTGAAAATGATTTGAAAGCTGCAGCTTCAAAACCACTACCCTTACAGTCGTTTAAGGAGTTAGGCGAACTTTTGTCCTTAAGACATTCGTGTGACGAGCTTTTGGACGTCAAACGATCAGAAGACCTTGATGTTACTGGCAGTTGATCATACGTGGGACCAGGTTTTGTTCGTAGTTCTGGCGTACCACATTTCAACTGAGAATTATCACGGTCTCTTCCGATAGTTGGTACTTTCTGTTTAAATTTGTAGCTTCTGTTTTTGTCATCATTACTGGCCGTTGTTGGGAACAATGTATCATAAGAACGAGCTTTTTTATTATATTTATCCATGTTGTCACCACCAACTGCCTCTGTACGTACGCTACAGATGCAGAGAAGCGAAGAGTACTTGAAGTGATTCAACCTCTTGGGTGTATGGGGAATCACCTGATTGAGAGTAACGACCCCATTAATGAGTGCGCCATTCGTTTTAAACAATCAAACACCATTATTCTCACTCTGCAGATATGCTAATATATACCTTTATCGATTTGTGAAGTCCTCAAAAATAATTTTATCCAATTTTTACTACTATGTAGGAAATGAACATATTGTTTGAATCAATGTCTCTGTACTATATTTATTTATTTATTATTTTATTTCTATTTTTACTTTGAACTTTACCTCGTGGTTTGAATGGAAATATAGTTCTGCCTACAACTCTTCGTCTTCTCTACCATCTAGAAGCCATCGACCAATTCTAATCACCTGCCTTCTGTCTCAAATTTTCGCAGGGACGCCGTATTTTCTCCCTATATTACCTTGGTCGACCTCTGGCAATATTGGTATTAGAGAATTAAGATTGGAGAAGTCTTCTCACGATACTACTGGAGTCTATTACGTTCATCGTGGATTTGGACCTTGTAATAACCAGAGTAATAAATTTTAATATATTCTTCCACTGACCTTACTGGTTTAGTATTTTTATTTCTATTCGGATTTGGCATATTAAGTTATCAGAGTCTAAGGTCCGCCACAAAACTTTTCGGGCCTGTTTCAAACTTTTATTTGTATTTCGGCCTGTTTTGAACTTTTTTCGACAGTTCACTCGTTCTGAACATTTTTCTGCTATTTTGGCCGACCATACAAATAGTCCGGGGTTCGATCCCCTGCCGACGCACACCTGATATCTATGGTCGGCCTGCGAGATTCAGGCTGCTGATATCCATGCAGAAAACTCCATACTTTTACCGAAAATACAATGTGGAATCAAGCTCAAAAATAAGTAAAATAAAAATAAATAAATTGCTATCATTTTTGGCTATCGCATATTTTACTATTTGTGTGTATCTTTATATTTAAATATTTTCGACAATGGCTTCACTTAAACGTACCACTGTTCCAGCAGAACTTAAGAAAGGCGAAGAGTTACATATTTCTTCTGTTAACGCCTTGCCTGATTTAAGATTGTCTCCATTTTAATCTGGCCGAACCAGGCGTATGGTCCAGTCATCGAACAGTTATTTACAGCATGGGGTAGAACATCGCAGATTGCCAAGTTCGGTCGGGTATTAGCAGCAATACCCACTGAAGTACTCCGAAAAGTTATCGATGTCATAGACGGTGAACCTACAGATCACCAATATGACAAACTGAAAGCTGCAGCGAACCACCGTTTCCGATGAGAAACGTATACAACAACTACTTACTGCTTGTGAGTTAGGTACAAAAAAGCCATCTCAACTACTTAGACGCATGCGTCAGTTGATCGAATCATGCAAAGTAGATGAGCTAATCCTACGTCAGATGCTTTTACAACGTTGCCGCAAAGTGTTCATTAAATCCTAACGATATCTTCTAGGACGACTGATCTAGAAGAACTAGCATTGATGTCAGATGGTATCTTGGATGTATTATCAAATACTGCCGTAAATAGTGTGTCTACACATGTAGTACCACTAGTCCCTTCCACATCTATGAAGAACACACCAATGTTTTGGTTCCTTTCTCAGTTATCATCACAAATGCAAGGCATAAGACTGGAAGTGTCTAAGCTTCGAGCACAACGGCGATTAAGATCTAGACAACGTTCTAAAAAACACCTGAAAGCCGTAACATTTGTTGGTATCATAGGAGGTATGGGTATAATGCCCTGAAGTGTGTTCGACCGTGCATATACAACAGTGGTAACTCAACTCAGGGAAACTCCCCAGCCAGACAGTAATGGCGACGGCTGTTACTGGCAATCACCCCAGTCGCCTTTTCTATGTGAGGGATTTGACTACCGGCACATTATTCCTGGTAGATACAGGCGCCGAAGTAAGTGTTATCCCCCCTCACTATGCAGGCGATCAGCCAAAATACCGGGGAAACTTTCACTCTGTGCTGACAAGCAAACCAACATACAAATGTATGGCGAACAGTCAATGATTTTAAACTTGGGACTACGCCGATGTTTCTCATGGATCTTCATAGCAACTGACGTACGTCACGCTATACTGGGTTCAAACTTCTGAAGTCATTTCAATCTGTTAGTTGATATCAACAAGAAAAAACTGATTGACAACAGCTCCAAACTCAAGATCCACGGTATTACATGTGATTATTCCGTTCATAGTATCTTCATAGAAAAGCCGGAGAGGGAAATGTTTTCAACCTTATTACAAAGTTTTCCCAAAATCCTTAAGCCGTCATACAACGTCGAGGATATCTTCGACAGATATTAGCTTAGACAATATCGCCAAGCTGCAGAAAAATGGCGCCAAACTTTATACTTGTAGACAAAAGTCCTCCCTACAGTCACAGGATATACCTATTCCTCTGTCTGATACAACTGTCGTCTGCGACGTTTCCACCGGCGTTCATCGAGCTGTTGTTCCTTTGTTCGAACATCTACATTCTCCGCCTCATCATGGACTACGTGCTACGGTTATGTTAATCAGCAAGCGTTTCGTTTGGCTGCCTGGTGGTGATTAAGGAGGAAGGAAAATGATAATTCTTCCTTCTGTTTGAATAGTTATTGTGTTAGGTTGCATTGAGCGTTATTTTAAAATGTGGAAGCCGAACTTCATGAATTAACCAGCTCTAAACTGAACGAAAATTCTCCGGAGAAATAAGGAATCAATATGGCAAAGTTTGGTTGAGTTGATCCTACTCATAGGCAAGACAAGCGTTGTGAGTACGGATGTTGTTATGTGATACACGTTTTGTCTCCGTGCATAATCAAATTTGCTTCAAGAATAAAACACCAAGGAAAGAAGTAGAATAACAAGAAAGATTTTATTGGATGAAACTAGGTCCATGGGATGCCAGATCACAGACTATCTTTGCATGTCCGGATTTTCGATAATCTTACCTGCAAAAAACCTTGAAAGTTTATTATCATATATACCAACTGTTTATTTATTGATTGGAGGATTTCATCGTGAGCTGACATCTGTAAGAGAACCGTTGGAAAACCTGAGAGTACTTGATAGCTGTTTTATCCTAGTTTGGGACCCTTCACCGGTACGCGACTACCAGGGTTTTCATACGGGACCTTCTGGTCACAAGGTGAGTTGGTAGACCGTTAAGTCACTGGGAATTGATCCAGTAGCCCATGAATCCTAACTTTGGCTAATTTCAGCTCTTGCTGAAATCTTCCAGCCAATCGAACAAAACCCCTACAAAACCGATGCTTGAATGTTTATTTATTATTTTGTGTGGGCGATGAATCATTCATCCGGGTGTGGTTGTTCAAGCAGCCTAACTAACTGGTTTTCTAGACTATCTTTACTTAGTTTTCGTCTTTATGTGGCTAGTTAAAGCTGCAATCCACCACGTGTTACTCAGTCGCCACTCTAATAGTGGACCCACGGACATTCTGATTGAAAGTTAGGTGGTCAGCCTCTAGCGCTAAACATACCCACGGCAGCAGCACACTGAACGCGAGACCAGTAGAATATGATATCACCATAGGATCAGGATGTTCATGGGAAAAAATAGTCGAGACCAAGTGCGAGCGCGCCAATGAAAAAGTAAAGGCTCTCGATAGGAACTCCAAAACATAAGCAAATCGCGCTGATCTACTTATGATGTAGTGCTTCTACAACTCAGTGTACTATAGCTCTTCAATGTGGTAAAGGAATAAGGAACTCAGAAAGGGCGGACGGGTAAACAAGTAGGAACGGTCATCTTCATGATTTATCAGGCTTACTTTATCTATTGAATACTGAATTCCCTTTTGGATTGTTTGAATAGGCTTCCTGATTCAAGAGTCTTCTACTGTGGCTTTTAAAATCAACAATTTGTCTCTAACAGTATTACGAGCTGTAGGCCAGTTGCTCGAATAATTATTTTGATGAAAAAGTCAGTACTAGAACTTGAAGACTCACTGATTTACTACGATTATTTGGTCATGAGGTGTAACATACACGTCACATATTGCAGCTTGGGATGTGGCGTTTGGAGGTTTCAACAATTCCATGGTTACTGGTGAGTACAAAATGATGAGGTCAGCAATTTTACCGAATCAGCCTCGAAGTGGTTAGGATATGGTGTATATGGGATTTGCTAACAATATTCTCAATACCTACAGTACATGAGTTCTACTGGTTTCAACACACTTTTCGAGTAATAACATTGAAAATGATAGGGTTACTTTGTGAGTACCATGATTAAGAACAGCCGCTGTAGGAAAAGACTAGCAAAATAGAGGCTCGAAAGTAGCTAGCAGGCGTTAATACTTTGGAGTAAAAAATATTCTGTAAGCACAGGGTCTTTTGGCGAATTTCTTGTAATGTTTCGCAACAATCTCAATAAAATGTTTAGCGTTAATAAGGAGAGACAATCCCTACCAATCTGGGATAATGAGAAGTAGTCGGAAAGAAGTTAATCCCGAAGATAAGAGTTCAAGGAATGAGTTTAGGGGGAGCGGCAGTTAAAACATATCTACATTTGTGTTTTGGTATAATTAGCTGGGTGTGTTTCTGAAGTCGCTACTTCACATAACGCACTTGCATTGGGAAAGTTGTTATTTTGGCTCTTACTCTTGGGAAGTCTACCATTTTCTTGTGAAGCAATCATTTTGAATCAGGAGGCTCTGCAAGAGATTACCATCCGGCAGACAACGTTGATTCTTAACAGCGAAGCATGAAAAACAGACTTGTCAATGGAGTTGAAGATTGAACGATCAATTCTTGGTTGTTCGCTTAAAATCAACTTCCCCAATTTTCGCGGAAGCATCAATACGACAGTCATCGTCTCATCGGTCGCTGTTCAGAAAGAAGAGTGAAACATCGTCAGAAGTAATCTTATGATTTATTATTGTAATATTTGTTTTCAGACCTTAGTTCTTAGTTCGCTTATTCCTTTTATATGTTGGTGTAACAATACAGAAATATCAAACGGCAGATCGGTGTTTTGGTTTTTGCGTCCGTTATAACTAAGCGTTTCTGAGAAATCTTCTAAGAACAGCGTGGGCCCGAGCGTAGCGAGAGCTGGGCATTAA